AAATAATATGGCTAGACTACGTTGGGCTTGTCCAAAAATTTTGAAGTTATGAGCATAAAATTTAGGGTGTTTTACCTGCATCTCTAAATCCTGTTCTTTTGAGTGGATTTGAAGATAAATTTTTTTGTCATTTATTTGAGTGAATTTTGAGGTAAATGAGAGTGAATTTGGAAATAAAATTTGTTAGAATTATTATAGAATTGTATTGACGTGACAAATTAAAAAAATTTATTTCCAAATTCACTCTCGTTTACCTTCAAATTCACTCAAATAAACGACAATAAAAATTATCTTCAAATCCTCTCAAATTCCCTCAAATCCACTCAAAAGAACAGGGCATAAGGGTTTCATCTTGCACTTCCAAATTCTATAAAAATCCTTGTAATTAATTAGGTCTGTATTAAGTTAATTTGATCAAAATAGTTGACCAATTCAGTGATGCATCAATTAAAACAGCATGGAATATATACTTCCTTCTTCACTTTTATGCCTTCACTTTCTTTCTGTTTGCACCTCCATTTCATTTCTTTTCCTTCTTTTTTTCCGTGGTCCTTAAGAGAGAATGAGAGAGACTTTTGCTAACCTTACTTGTGTTAGAGACAATTGGAAGTGGTGGTTCGAGACAGAGTGGTGATGATTGACATTCAAGTTGAGAAAGTGTTTTTTTTTTAAAGATTTTGACGTCAAACAAGTATATGGATTTACTCTTAAATTCATAGTAATCAGATATGAAAATCCAATGAATAAGTTGAAATTCGATCTGATATTAAAATCTGATTTTCTTCATATGTGAAAATCTGATAAAAGAACAAAAATCAGACTTTGAAATTTGATGTTCTCTTTCACATTTTCATATCCGAAATATACTTTTTTTTTTCTCTTACATTTTGACATCGGAGGCATATTTCGCATTTACATATTCAAATCGAGACATACATGTTTTTTAAATTTTATTTATTTTAAACTCTTCGCAGGTCAATAACCGAGACATGTTTGTCTCGTATCCATATCCGATGGAGGCATAATGTGTTTTTTAAGTTTGTTTATTTTGAATGTTTAATTGTATTATATTGTTTTAAAATTTAAAAGTTTATTAAATTATTTTAAAATGTTTAATTATATTATTTATAATATAAAATTTTGTTTTTTTAAATGTTATATTATACTATTTTAAAATTTAAAAGTTTATTTATTTTGAACTAAAAAATTTATTAGATTATTTTAAAATGTTTAATTTCATTATTTATAATTTTTTCATTAAATAATTTGTATGAATATTTTAAATTTATTAAAAATATAAATTTATTTAAAATTCATATGAAAAATGTTTAAAAATTATTAGGTAGTTTTAACTATTATTATTTTGGTGTTTTAATTTTTAAGTTTATTAGATTATTTTTTTGATTTTATAATTTAATTATAAATGTTTATTTATTCTATTAGTTTTTCATTTTGTTAAAATTTTGTTATATAACAAATTATATGACTTTTTTTAAATTATTTAAAAAAAAATTGTATGTAAAATTGATATCAAAATTTTGAATGATTTTTTAGGTACTTTTATGTATTATTATTTTGGTGTTTATTTTTAAGTTTATTAGATAATTTATAATTGTTTCATTTATTGTATTAGTTTATAATTTTATAATTTAATTATAAATATTGAATTCATGGTATTAATTTTTTATTTTGTTTTTTTATAATGAAAATTTTAAATAAATATTAAATAATTATAAATTAAAAGAGAGCAATGAATAAGAATGAAATCCAAGACAGTAGTAAGATGAGAGAGAAACCTGAAAATGAAACTAGTTAAGAATTTTTTACCATATTTTTTTTCATTTTTAGCAAATTAAAACAAACTAAAAACGTTTTTAATTAGAGATAAAATAGACATTTTTTTTAATTTTGGAGGTACAATATTAAATCCGGGTAGGTGAAACTCCTAAAATTTATTAGATTAGATTAGTTGGCCCATTAGAAGGATTGGTAAATATGTAAAAATGGTGCGTGCGAGTTTCAAAATAGTAACAGCAAGGGTGCAATATAAGATAATAATAATAATATATTTTGTTTTTTTGAAAAAATGGCATACATAAGATTACATTAATTGTGAGAAGTTATAATTATAAACACCACACTCAATAAATTAAATGAATAGAATAATAGATATAAAATAAATGAGTAATGATATATGTGATATAACTCAACTTTCGTTCATATCCAATCTTGATTTTAATAAGGTTTTTGTTGGATTTCCTAACAAGTAGAACATAATTTTTCATGTATTATTCTAATATAAATTATTCAATCATAATGAATTACTCGATTATTGATCTTTGAACCTCTATCGTCGATCCTTGATCTCTATCTCTTGATGTCATCACTAACATCTTACACATAGACCTTTGTTCTATCCACTTATTTGCACCTATGCTAACTAACTACTTAATATAACCATTATAGTAACACCACTATTAAGTTAGCATAACCTATAACATTTTCAATATTATGATCATCATCATAGATATACCACTATCATGATTATCCTAATCATGATTAACACTGTGAGCATCACCAAACCATGAACTCCATCGTGACAAGATTCAGTCACATTCCTTTACCTTACTTCACCCGTTTGTATTCACTCATATAGACCCATCTGTAGCTTCCTCTACAGATACACCCGAGTAATCCTTCTTCTAGCTTTGGACTTGTCCCCATATTACACAAGACAAAACATTTATTCCCCCACCAAAGAAGATTCAACACTCGAACACCATTCTTTTTTCTACAATTTTTTGATAAAGAGATAAATATTCTCTTTTTAATAACCAATTCTAAAGAGAGTCACTCCCTTTTTAACAACCATTTCCAAAGGGAATTTCCCTCCCTTTTCAACTATCCAATGCTAAAGGGAGCACCTATCTGTATATTATCTTAGGATTTACTAGGTACAACAAGTAGAGTAATCTCTCATGCCTCATGCTCGTTAATCACACACACTATTTTGCATTCCATCTTCAACTCATGCTTCAATCTCAACCATAAGTCAAATATGAACTTAAACACAACCACTAATCTCAATCTCTGATTATCATCACATTCCACAGCTCCTCAAGCTTAGGCCATGTTCATTCTTCATCAAAACGCACTATTTTCAATAAAAATACTCTAGGATAATCGATTACATAAGTGATAATTAATTATTTCTGAAACATACACATGTACACAAATTACACTATGATGATCGATTATCATTTAAGATAATCGATTATTAGTTGTTTCACACAACAAATCACCATAATTTATCATGCATTAAGGGATAATCAATTATCATTCTAGATAATCAATTATACCCACGAATAATCACATTCCTGGACCAAAAAACCTAAGGTCCAACCCTCATATATGAATTCCAAATCACGTGAAAACATGCTTAAGACATTATACATGCATATATCTCTTGTACATACATAGATTCACACTCATATGCACACAATATATCAAAAGAACCATCCAAAACCTCGTAGGAATTGGTATCGCACAACAAAATGTTTAAAAACGTGTAAACGGACACAAAACCAAGTGGGGAGGGGTGAATTGGTTCTATTAAAAACTTTGTTTTCCCTTTTAAAATTTTCTTCAAACAAATTAAAGTAAAGAGACGAAGAGATAAAGAAAATCACACAATTGATTTTTATACTGGTTCGAATCAAAAGATTCTATGTCTAGTTGTTAATCACTTTAAAATAAGTGATTAACTTTTCTCTAAAATCAGTTTGATGTTACAAGATGTATAAAGAACTAAACAGAAGAGAAAACATCTTCCTTCGACACACGAGGGAATAAAGAAAAACTTGAACAACTTGGTAGAAAACCACTTTCACCTTAGACGCACTAAGACAAGCTTCTTCTTCTTCAAGAACTTGATAAAGCAATCACTTAAAACACTAGAGCTTCCTCAAAACCAATTTTGTACTCTATAATAGTTTAGGTAAATTTGTTAAGGTTGTGGAGACTTTTATTTATAGGCCAAGGGTTAGAAAATGAAAATGCAGCTCCCAATTGCCAGTTATAATCGATTACCAAAAGTGATAATCGATTATTTTAGACCGTTATAGGTTTTGAAAAAAATGATAATCTATTATCCTTAGTGATAATCAATTATTGTCGAACCTTGGATAATTGTAGCTTTTGATGATAATTGATTATTATTGAAACGAAGTCTATTTTTAATTCTACTTATGATAATCTATTATTTCCGTAATAATCGATTATTGCTTAGAGAAAACTATAAGAAAAAATAAGTTACATGATATTTAAATGCTTACAATTAAAAGATAAATCCTAATACAAATGATTGTACAACAAGTGCTTTAACAATTCCTTTAGGTTTTCAAGTGCACGAGAGAATGAATAAGAGGCTGAGAAAATACAAGACTGAATTGAAGAAGAAAAAGGACAAGAGATTGAAGGAGTTCGAGGAATCCTTCAAGTTTTGAAAAATTGTGATTCTTTTTGTCTAACACTAAATTTTGTCTGAATAACTAAAATAAAATAAAAAAGTATTTAAAAGAAAACGAAAAAGAAAAAGTAAATAAACACAAATAATAAATAATAACCAGACAATTCTTTCTTTTTCATGATGTTTATTTTGTTTTACTTTGTTGCATTTTATTTGATTTGATTTTATTTATTTTTCGATGACTCTATTTGATTTCATTTTATTTGTTTCAAATTTTTATTTGATTTGGTTTTATCTTACTTTATTTTATTTTGTTTTATTTTAATTTTTTTTATTTTTTTATTATTCTATTTTGTTCTATTTTATTTTATTTTATCTCATTTTTAATTTTTTCTTTTGCTTCATTTTATTCTATTTTGTTTCATTTTATTTATTGTTGTTATACTTTGTTTAATTTAATTTATTTATTTTGTTAGGGATTCATGGACATGGACGGAGAAAACTAGAAAATGTAAAGCATTGTCCAATACATACAGAGAGGGGTTTTTTTTGGAGGCAGCTAGGGGAGGCTAGAGAAAACAAAAAAAATAGGAAGAAGTTTTGGAAACAGAGGGAGAGAGAGAGAGAGAAAACGGGGGAAATAAACCAAGAGAAATCTGGAGAGGGGTTGAACGCAAGATAGAGGGAAGGGTGAGAAGAAAGGAGGAAGACACAGAAAACAAACCAAAAAGAAGTAGTCTGGAACAGAAGGGGAGAATTAGAGAAAACTTCAAGAGGTATGTCACGAACTTGTATGAAATTACTATATGCATTAGTTATGGTTTAGACTCTTTTTAATAGTTGAAATGCGCTTTGAGATTCTACAATTACGTTGAGATTATTATTGGCTGTGATATTACCTCCCTTTCGTCACCCTTATCATTGATTTCATTCATCACCCATCAATTCACGTTACCTCTGTATCCTCCTATTCCTATTACTCTGTTACACCACACCAAAAACGGATTAATCATTCCACCCTCAATCATAAGCTCTTAATTTAAATATATAGTTAGCCAAACCAAGAAACAGAGGAAGAGAGGAACAATCATCAATGAAGAATAGCGGTACTTCTCTCTCGCGAACGAAAGGATATATGAAGGAGAGGAGATGACGCGGTGGTTGGCGAGGACTCCGCCGACGATCGGTGTCGCTGGTGATGCCTTTGGCCAGGCGGAAAACACGGAACGAGATCGACTCTGGACCGTGAATGCATCGCGAAGGGGAGAGACGACGCCGTGTTGCTATGAGCATCTCGCTGAAAGAAGAAGACGAGCGTCATGGAGAGAATGGCTTTCGCCTTTTAGGGTTTCGGTGGCGACCCCTGGTACAAACGGCGTGGGTTCATCGAGAAGGGAGGCTGCTCTCCTTCACCTAGGGTTTGCGGGTTTCTGAAGAAGAGAAAATGAAGGTTTGGATCCCTAGTTGGACTTGGACCGCACAGGCCCATCAATCTAGTGTTTAATACCCTCAATTTAAAATTAAATAATGGAATGAGTATTTGATCTCTTATCAAGTGTAGTGCTTGATACCTTAAATTTAAGAATAATAATGGGATGAGTACTTGTATGGTCGTTTGCATCATGTAATAGTGGTACCTTTTTAAGAATAATAATGGTACGATTACTCATATGACCACATCAGAATAAAAGTAAATTAGATATGAGTATTCGTGTGATCGTCTGCATCGGCTTACTATTCAGTACCTTCTTTTCCTCAATCATATAAAAAATACCAAAAATTCAAAATCTCCAAAAAAGCTAAAAACATTAACATTATCCTACAAATAATTTGAGTCAGAACTATGTGATCCTTGATTTTTCATTGTGAGTGAAAATACGTAGAAGCAAGGCTAGTTCTTGTTAGGTTCATTTCACTAAAATTCAAATCATTTCTCAAAATCATTCCTATAAAGAATTTCAATGAAGAGTTTAGAAAGAACTATGAACTCCTGATTTCTCATTTTGAATGAGAATACGAAGGAGCAAAGTTGATCCCTGATTTTTGTAGACCATGTCTTATTTTTATGTTTTTTTTAGTTTTTTAGGATAAAAACTTCGGTGGCAACTCTCAAACTCTATTTTCAAAATAATTCTTATTATTTTTTGTACAATTTATCCGTCTCCGTTGCGATTCTGGTTGTGACAGTTACTTTTTGATTTTCTCTTTTTCTTTCTACGTTTGATTTATGAGAAAAATTGGAAAAATTGCTTCTATGTATACTAATGATGTGTAATTTGCTCATTTACACATCCTTTTAAGAGGGATTAAAAGCTTCACTATTAACCCAATTTTATAGATTTAAAACATGCAGCTTGCTTCAAACCTAAGAAAGAGATTTGCATAGTAGAAGATTATGTAGATAAATGTATTATGTTTGACTTTAGTGGTGATTAATTTATTTTGTTGGAATATGTTTGATCATATGGCAATTTGTAGCATGATTCTAATTCAAATCAAACCAATCCTGTTTCAATGATTCAAAACACAACCTATTAAGAAACTATCCTATTAGTTTTCTTAAGCACAAAGTTGCAACCATTTTCTTCCTTCACTCTTCTCCTATGTTCCCTCTCACCATATTATCTCCTTTGATATGTCATTTTTCTTTCATTACATCAATAAAATTGTTCAGGAATCATTGTATATTTGAAGGACTTTAGTAGTTTTTTCATGTTTCCTCAGCATATTTAATAATTGCTCCTTTGGTTTGTTCATGTTTCATCTAATGCTACTGAATACAACCTAGGAAAGAACCAGTGTATTAAGAGCAAATAGTATGTTAAAAATAAGTTCCATATATATAACACTAATATACTTTCATTTTGTCTTTGATCATTTTAACTAGTTACATTGATTAAATCTGGTGGTACCCAACTTCTACTATCTGAACTTTATGACATGTGACATCAATTTGGAGTGACTTGTATCTCTCTACTGCATTTTCTGATACAATGCAGTTACAACACAATCTATTTATCTTTCAGCTGATTTCATACCCTTTTTGTTAATGACTTAGAGGCCTTGAACAAATATTGTATACTGTGTCATTCACTGATTATTCAAGTTGCAAATGTTGGAAAAAGCACAAAAAATTAACTCTCCTCGAAGTATAGCTAAATGTTCTAGAGAAATAGAAATTTAGAAAAATTAAATGATGTGAGATGCCATCGACATCTCACTCACCCGAGAAAACCTTTCCTGAGTATTTGCTTTCTATTGTAGATAAGATTAGTCTTTGAAGGTAGTTCAATTTTTGCACTTTATCAAAATGTAAAGTTCAAATGACTCTTGTATATTAAAAATAAGTCTGCAATGACCAAATTGTTTTGGAAAAGAAACATCTCACACGCCCACACAAGTTATGATGGCAATTGCTCTAGCTAGGACAAGCCAAATCTAGAAGCAAATCAAGTCATAAGTTCATGGATGAAGATTGCGGAATTTGGTGGTGGTGAAAGGTGTTGATAGCTCATGGTTTTGGTGAGTTGTATGGTGAGGGAAGATGTGTTTAATGGTTCTCTGAGAGAGGTTGGGCCAACTTTTGGAGGAAGGTGGCTAGAGGAGGCCACTTGGGTTGCTTTAGCCTAGGGTGACCTTAAAAGAGTAGTATGGCATAAAAATGGCAGCATAACTTTACTCTAAATCAAAGATGATTACATGATAGAGAACACCTCTATTTATAGGTTAAGGTGTCTCAAAATGGGCAGAAACTTTAACCTAAAAGAGCCACCTTGGTTGGCTTGGAGAGCAAGGAGAAATCCTCTCCAATAGGAGGGAGACAAGTGGCAAAAATCCTCTCAAATGAGAGAGTGACATGTGGCCACTACCTATGGAAAAACTCTCCATTCCTAGAGTGACACATGGCCACTAACTAGGAGGAAAACTCTCCAATGGGAAGCCTCCACATGTCTAGGACAAAATTCTTCTCTCTTGTTCTCCAAGCTTAGCCAAAATGTTGACCCCTTGGTCAACACACCCATTTTGGAGGTCCAAGCATAGTCAACTTTGGGCCTTGACCCTTTGTTGACTTGTTTGGTCAAAATCCCATTCTACTTGGCCCAAAATACAAGGCCCAATTGAAGTCCTACACTACTAGGCCCATAATACAAAACCCAAATAAAACCTAGATTACTTGGCCCAAAATACAAAGCCTAAAAAAACCTAGACTACTTGGCCCAAAATACAAGGCCCAAAATTATTCTTACTCTTTTAAATCTTCATGATGACTTAAGATGGCCCAAGAGAAAGAGTCTAGGCCCATCTTCCATATTTGCCTCCAACTCTTCATGAATGTGCTAGGTCATGGCAAGGGGTATGCCATCATCCCCTCCCTCTTGAAAATGATTTGCCCTTAAATCTTCAACATGGAACAAGACAAACTTCCTTATCTTCTTTGGAGTTTTGTGTGCTTCTCCACCAAGGTCAAATACCCATTTTATAACACAAGTTAGAACAAATGTTATAATAATGAGTAAATGAAGAATATAGCTCCCAACAATGATACACCTTAAATCAAATGAATGATCAAGGTCTTGGAGTGTAAGAGCATCTTTGAAGCTTTTATTTGTCTTGTGTTGGATGTATATGTTTGAAAGACTATCCATCCCAAGAGAAGAGTTAAGTTTTAGGGATATGCCATCAAGTTAGATGGACACAATAATTTGAACACTTGTTTTTGTCCATTAAATCACTTAAAAATTGATCTGTTCTCCCAACAAATTCCTGTTTTAAAAAATTGACTACTTTTAAGTATTTGTAAAACCCTGAAAATGACACCTGGAAGGGAGGGACAGATGTCTCAAATGCAAGAGAGTGAACATTTTATAAAATTTCCCAAATCACAGCTCATCTCATTTTCTCAAAAATCTGCATCTCTCTAAAACTCAAACCTCCATCTTTTCTCCTCCTTCTCTCTAGAAATCCTTCATCTCATTTTATCTTTTCTTCAACCAGCCACAATCTGAGCAATTTTGGGGGTCCAGATCTTCTTTTCCACCAATCAAAATCATGTTTAGAGTCAGTAAGTTCACTTTCTTCTTAGAAATTCTATTTCCTGGCACATGCAAACCAAGTTCCTGGTTGCATGTGTTCATCAGCTTCTTCTTCTTAGTTCTGATCACTTTTCTGGTAATTTTGGGTTGGTCTTTTCTGACCAACCAGTGAAATATAGGTGTTCTTGGGATTTTCTGGTAAGAAAGCAAAGTCTGGAAAGAATAATCGTTGTTCAGTTCGGTCAAAGAGGTAAGGGAAGCTAGATAATTTAATTACTTGGTTTTGATGTATGGATATGTTGTTTGATAATTATGCATGTGTATGAAATTGATTTGGATAAAGCTGTATTAGTGTAAAATTGGATGAATTGGGTGTTCGGTGCTGTTGGTGTGGAATATTGATGCTGTGTTTATGATGATTGTGTATCTGTATGATTATGGAACAGTGGTCGAGTGAAATTGGTAAGGTTTGGTGTCGATCTTAATTCTGTAGCTATTCTGCAGAATTATGTAGTTGCTGAAGGCCTTTAATTGACCGTTCGACTTTTATCTGGTGCTCGGTCTTAATTAAGTTCTGCTATTGTGAATTCTCAGTTAATGACTGTTCGGTTTAGTGTTGATTTTAAATTAATGTAGCATTCGGTCTAGACATAACTTTTGTTGTGAACAACGTTCAGTCTGTCATAGGCTATAACTGTTATTGACCGCTCGGTCTTGAACTGTCTTGGTAGTGCTCGGCTAGATGCCAACACTCGGTCTCAGTAATGCTCGGTGATGTACTAAGCACTCGGTGTCGTCATATTACAAAATTATGTAATTGAAATTGTAACTAAGAGGGTTCGGACTAAGCTTGTAGTGTTCGGTCTAGGCTCTTAGATTTTGGTTATGAGCTTTAGTATTTGTTTATGTCTAATTATAGATGTTCTATAGTATTCAGTCAAATCTTTGGATTCTGTTTAGTAAATATCCCGTTCGACCATGTTCACCATAGGGAAATAATATCCCCTTCGGTCATGTTCACCATAGGGAAATAATATCCCGTTCGGTCATGTTCACCATAGGGAAATAATATCCTCTTCGGTCATGTTCACCATAGGGAAACAATATCCTGTTCGGTCAGGTTCACCATAGGGAAACCATATCCCGTACGGTCATGTTCGCATATAGGAGGTGTTCTACGGTCAGGTTTTGTTCATAATAAGTGTTGATATTTTCCAAGTTAGTTATGCTCAATGGTGATGTTGTTTTAATGTTCGGTTTGAAGTTATTTAAAGATGTTATGGATGAGGAAATATGTTGTTAATGAGGTATGGTATTTAAAATGTGATATGAATATGAAGAAGTATGATGTGATTTGTATTATATGGATATGAACGAGTGTTCCAAGGAGGAATATCTCAGAAATGGTTATGGAATTGTAAAGTATGAATATGGTCAAACTAAGCTGTCGTTCATCCTGACATTCTAATGGTCACCGAGTCTCAATTAGAGAATGGTGATGCATGTGTTGAGAATAGCAAGAGGCCCTAGCCTGGGCGGTATTTATTACCTTGACCTAAGGTAAGGAATAACGGGCTAACCTCGTGTGGCAGCAGCTCAAGGGTTTTCCATGCTGCGGTAATCATAAGGTTTTTATATTACCACCCACGAGTGCACGAACGTCGTAGCTACATAATTCATATAGTTCGGACAGTCAAAGGGAAAGTGGTCGGTTATAATATGTTGGTGTGATTTCTGTAGAAGTATGATTGTTTTATGTGTTTGTATGAATTGTTTTCCTATCTTATCATGTTGTCCGTTCGGTCGTCCTTGTCTTTGCGATGATCACCCTGTGGGTATGAGCAGAAGGTGCAGAAGCTTCTCTGGAGCAAGCGCTGGCAGAAGAGGATGGTCTTCGCTAAGAGTAAGACCGTTCGGTCTTGACTTTGTTTTTATAATTAGTATAGGACCGTTCGGTTTAATACACCGTTGTAGGACCGTTCGGTTGATAATCCTCTTGTATGACTGATCGGTCTGTTTTTATGATTTGTATCAATGTAGGTTTATGTAAAGTTTTTAATGGTTATTTTAGGATAACTGTAAGTTAAACTTTATTTCCTGTAACTATTATATTTTATTGTAAATGTAAGTACTCTTGAATATAGTTTGCAGCTATATTTTTGGGATGTTACAGTATTTATTGAGAAAATTCTGTATTGTGATTCCAGCAAAGGGTTGTTAACAAATGCTCTAAACTAAAAAATATAAAAAATATTTTATAAGTTAATTACAATAGGTTTTAATAACTATTATACTTTTCCAGCAAAGGATAGGCACCACATCTCACACTCGTATCATCCGTCTGTACCGTCTTTGAAATTGGGTAAGGCTTCTTGTGTTCAATTCTAATTATGATCGTCTGTACGTTTTTGAGTGCTTTTCATTCTATGTTATTGTAAGCTTTTGTTGAAAAGAAAGCCAATTTGCAGAGCAAGTGCGTGTATTATGTAAAAATGACGAAACTTGCATTGAAGGTCGGCGAAAAGAATTGCGATTCTCCGTGCCTATCAGATTCACTTTGTTTTGATTATGGCCTCGAACAAGTCGCTACATGTTCTAGATTTTTCTTTTTCTTTTGATCAATTATTTTCACTGATATTTTGCAGGGTTTTTCATTTTATGAATTCATCCAAGTTAAGGTATTTGGATGTGATTTATGAATGAACGAAGCTCTTTAAATATGTATACTATAATGATTTGGTTTTCTAAACTTGTGCTCAAACTTAATAAAGTTTGAATATATGGTTATCGAATAGTGATAAGTGTGAAATATATGGTTATTTAAAATCTAGATTTTGAAGTTTATTTAGAGTGGAAAATATGGTCATCTATAAAGCAAACTGGTTTTTATATACCAAGATTGTGTCGGAAGATGACTAAATTCATCTTATGTCCTCCATTCCGTTAAAACACATGAAATCTTGTGTTCATGCAGTACTATAACATCGGGGGATACACATTTTATTTTATTTTAATGTTCGATATCCTTTTTGCAAGACGTTTATAATTCGAAATGATAGGAAATAGAAGTTAAGGACTAATGGATTGAGAAAATAAAATCAAATTTGTTTGATAACTGGTAATAAGGGAAGAAATTAAAGAAGCTATTTGAAACAAACCTAAAATACCATGTTTCATACCCATTGGACCAAATTCAAATGAAATCAAACTTGTTTGATAACTGCTAATTAGGGAAGAAATGAAAAAAAAAATGCTATTTGAAACAGACCAAAAATATTCATACCCATTCGACCAAATTCAATTTTCCATTTTTGTTGATTTTCACCGAGTATGACTTTGCCTCTTTTCTTACTCTTAAGGCTTTTGAACATATTCCTTTCTTTTGTCATGGGTGATGAGCTATCACTGTCTAGGTACAATCACTATATCATCTTGATACCATTGTTTTGTTTGCAAGATAAATTGTTTTATTTTTAAGTACCTGTATGGAGTTGAATGCTTGTTGTTAGTGTGTTTTCATAGTCCTTTTTAGGAATGACATTAAACAGTCTATTTTGGTTATGATACATGTGATTTAACTCAGCTTTCGTTCATATTCAATCTTGATTTTAATAAGGGTTCTGTTGTATTTCTTTACAAGTAGAACAAATAATTTCTCACGTATAATTGTTTGGGATACAACTTTCCTTAAATAAGTGTTATAATTGATTAGGTTTATTGTCTTATTCTTGTCTTCCTTAATAGAACATTTTCCAAGACTTTTGAAAGTGATTATTTCTTAGTTTTCTCAAACTCGTTTGGAGTTTCAACTTTTTGTTTCAAATCCTTGTTCTTCTCCTCTCCCACCGTTATGTTTGAGCTCAAGGTTTTCTTCTAAAAGACCATATGATGTTTCAAAATTTTATTTTAAACACTCAAGTTAAGACATGATTTTAAAATCCTCTAAAAGACTTCTTAAAACATGCTAGCTTGCAGTATTGGAAGTAACTTAATGATATGCTTCAGTAATAAAATGAATGTTAATGTAGTCTAAGTCATCGGAAATTTGGTTAGGCGTTGTATTTTTGTCAGTATCTAACCATGGCCCTCTTCTTCCTTTTCATCCTCAAATCTATAGATGTCAAGGTCTTCCCATATGGATATAAGACTTCCCTTTTTCTTTGTCCTGCCCAGAACATTCTTACCCAAAGCGTTAAGGCATTTTATGACGAGAGTAAATGACTTTCTAATATGTTTCCTTAGACTCTCTAGTATTGTATTGTCTACCTTTCCTACCATGTTTGAGTACTTTTTAAACTTATTTGTAAGGAAGGAGAAATCATCATTATCATCTTCATCGAATATTTTGGCATCTGATGAATCGTTTATGATAATTGACACCTTGGATGGAGAAGTTTTCTTTTGTTTTTGAATGCTAATGGTTAAATGGGTGTTGCGGTTGCGGTGAAACACCTCTTCATGTACTTTCGGAATTCCAATGATCTCTTCTAAAAATAATTTATCAAGTTTCATAGACAAGTTGTTTCTTAAGATCTCTATTTTGGGGGAGTAATCTGGTCAATGATATCGTAGCTATCAATCATTCTTTCAATTAATAGATTTAAGTTTATTGATGATAATCCAAAAGCTTATGACTTGAATGCTTTCAGTCATGTTGAACAAGTCATATATTGGCAAACTACAGGAATCAACATATTCCTCTAAACATCTTTTGATCCTTCTTGTGCTGATTTCTTACTCGATGAATGCTTAAAATGTAACGCTGTAACGCTCTTATGTGTCATATATCTGAAGATGAATATGGCAATATGTTAAAAGAGATGTGTAGTTTGTCAATATATGACTTGTTCATGATGCTACAACTTTATATAATATATTAAAAATATTTATAACAAACATCAATCACAACATTAAAAGGTCTCATGATGCTACAACTTTATATANCAGTTCGGTCAAAGAGGTAAGGGAAGCTAGATAATTTAATTACTTGGTTTTGATGTATGGATATGTTGTTTGATAATTATGCATGTGTATGAAATTGATTTGGATAAAGCTGTATGAGTGTAAAATTGGATGAATTGGGTGTTCGGTGCTGTTGGTGTGGAATATTGATGCTGTGTTTATGATGATTGTGTATCTGTATGATTATGGAACAGTGGTCGAGTGAAATTGGTAAGGTTTGGTGTCGATCTTAATTCTGTAGCTATTCTGCAGAATTATGTAGTTGCTGAAGGCCTTTAATTGACCGTTCGACTTTTATCTGGTGCTCGGTCTTAATTAAGTTCTGCTATTGTGAATTCTCAGTTAATGACTGTTCGGTTTAGTGTTGATTTTAAATTAATGTAGCATTCGGTCTAGACATAACTTTTGTTGTGAACAACGTTCAGTCTGTCATAGGCTATAACTGTTATTGACCGCTCGGTCTTGAACTGTCTTGGTAGTGCTCGGCTAGATGCCAACACTCGGTCTCAGTAATGCTCGGTGATGTACTAAGCACTCGGTGTCGTCATATTACAAAATTATGTAATTGAAATTGTAACTAAGAGGGTTCGGACTAAGCTTGTAGTGTTCGGTCTAGGCTCTTAGATTTTGGTTATGAGCTTTAGTATTTGTTTATGTCTAATTATAGATGTTCTATAGTATTCAGTCAAATCTTTGGATTCTGTTTAGTAAATATCCCGTTCGACCATGTTCACCATAGGGAAATAATATCCCCTTCGGTCATGTTCACCATAGGGAAATAATATCCCGTTCGGTCATGTTCACCATAGGGAAATAATATCCTCTTCGGTCATGTTCACCATAGGGAAACAATATCCTGTTCGGTCAGGTTCACCATAGGGAAACCATATCCCGTACGGTCATGTTCGCATATAGGAGGTGTTCTACGGTCAGGTTTTGTTCATAATAAGTGTTGATATTTTCCAAGTTAGTTATGCTCAATGGTGATGTTGTTTTAATGTTCGGTTTGAAGTTATTTAAAGATGTTATGGATGAGGAAATATGTTGTTAATGAGGTATGGTATTTAAAATGTGATATGAATATGAAGAAGTATGATGTGATTTGTATTATATGGATATGAACGAGTGTTCCAAGGAGGAATATCTCAGAAATGGTTATGGAATTGTAAAGTATGAATATGGTCAAACTAAGCTGTCGTTCATCCTGACATTCTAATGGTCACCGAGTCTCAATTAGAGAATGGTGATGCATGTGTTGAGAATAGCAAGAGGCCCTAGCCTGGGCGGTATTTATTACCTTGACCTAAGGTAAGGAATAACGGGCTAACCTCGTGTGGCAGCAGCTCAAGGGTTTTCCATGCTGCGGTAATCATAAGGTTTTTATATTACCACCCACGAGTGCACGAACGTCGTAGCTACATAATTCATATAGTTCGGACAGTCAAAGGGAAAGTGGTCGGTTATAATATGTTGGTGTGATTTCTGTAGAAGTATGATTGTTTTATGTGTTTGTATGAATTGTTTTCCTATCTTATCATGTTGTCCGTTCGGTCGTCCTTGTCTTTGCGATGATCACCCTGTGGGTATGAGCAGAAGGTGCAGAAGCTTCTCTGGAGCAAGCGCTGGCAGAAGAGGATGGTCTTCGCTAAGAGTAAGACCGTTCGGTCTTGACTTTGTTTTGATAATTAGTATAGGACCGTTCGGTTAATACACTTTTTGTATGATCGATCGGTCAGCATTTTTTGGGTTGTATCAGTGTAGGTTTTTGTAAAGTTTTTATATGGTTATTTTAGGATAACTGTAAGTTAAACTTTATTTCCTGTAACTATTATATTTTATTGTAAATGTAAGTACTCTTGAATATAGTTTGCAGCTATATTTTTGGGATGTTACAGTATTTATTGAGAAAATTCTGTATTGTGATTCCAGCAAAGGGTTGTTAACAAATGCTCTAAACTAAAAAATATAAAAAATATTTTATAAGTTAATTACAATAGGTTTTAATAACTATTATACTTTTCCAGCAAAGGATAGGCACCACATCTCACACTCGTATCATCCGTCTGTACCGTCTTTGAAATTGGGTAAGGCTTCTTGTGTTCAATTCTAATTATGATCGTCTGTACGTTTTTGAGTGCTTTTCATTCTATGTTATTGTAAGCTTTTGTTGAAAAGAAAGCCAATTTGCAGAGCAAGTGCGTGTATTATGTAAAAATGACGAAACTTGCATTGAAGGTCGGCGAAAAGAATTGCGATTCTCCGTGCCTATCAGATTCACTTTGTTTTGATTATGGCCTCGAACAAGTCGCCACATGTTCTAGATTTTTCTTTTTCTTTTGATCAATTATTTTCACTGATATTTTGCAGGGTTTTTCATTTTATGAATTCATCCAAGTTAAGGTATTTGGATGTGATTTATGAATGAACGAAGCTCTTTAAATATGTATACTATAATGATTTGGTTTTCTAAACTTGTGCTCAAACTTAATAAAGTTTGAATATATGGTTATCGAATAGTGATAAGTGTGAAATATATGGTTATTTAAAATCTAGATTTTGAAGTTTATTTAGAGTGGAAAATATGGTCATCTATAAAGCAAACTGGTTTTTATATACCAAGATTGTGTCGGAAGATGACTAAATTCATCTTATGTCCTCCATTCCGTTAAAACACATGAAATCTTGTGTTCATGCAGTACTATAACATCGGGGGATACACATTTTATTTTATTTTAATGTTCGATATCCTTTTTGCAAGACGTTTATAATTCGAAATGATAGGAAATAGAAGTTAAGGACTAATGGATTGAGAAAATAAAATCAAATTTGTTTGATAACTGGTAATAAGGGAAGAAATTAAAGAAGCTATTTGAAACAAACCTAAAATACCATGTTTCATACCCATTGGACCAAATTCAAATGAAATCAAACTTGTTTGATAACTGCTAATTAGGGAAGAAATGAAAAAAAAAATGCTATTTGAAACAGACCAAAAATATTCATACCCATTCGACCAAATTCAATTTTCCATTTTTGTTGATTTTCACCGAGTATGACTTTGCCTCTTTTCTTACTCTTAAGGCTTTTGAACATATTCCTTTCTTTTGTCATGGGTGATGAGCTATCACTGTCTAGGTACAATCACTATATCATCTTGATACCATTGTTTTGTTTGCAAGATAAATTGTTTTATTTTTAAGTACCTGTATGGAGTTGAATGCTTGTTGTTAGTGTGTTTTCATAGTCCTTTTTAGGAATGACATTAAACAGTCTATTTTGGTTATGATACATGTGATTTAACTCAGCTTTCGTTCATATTCAATCTTGATTTTAATAAGGGTTCTGTTGTATTTCTTTACAAGTAGAACAAATAATTTCTCACGTATAATTGTTTGGGATACAACTTTCCTTAAATAAGTGTTATAATTGATTAGGTTTATTGTCTTATTCTTGTCTTCCTTAATAGAACATTTTCCAAGACTTTTGAAAGTGATTATTTCTTAGTTTTCTCAAACTCGTTTGGAGTTTCAACTTTTTGTTTCAAATCCTTGTTCTTCTCCTCTCCCACCGTTATGTTTGAGCTCAAGGTTTTCTTCTAAAAGACCATATGATGTTTCAAAATTTTATTTTAAACACTCAAGTTAAGACATGATTTTAAAATCCTCTAAAAGACTTCTTAAAACATGCTAGCTTGCAGTATTGGAAGTAACTTAATGATATGCTTCAGTAATAAAATGAATGTTAATGTAGTCTAAGTCATCGGAAATTTGGTTAGGCGTTGTATTTTTGTCAGTATCTAACCATGGCCCTCTTCTTCCTTTTCATCCTCAAATCTATAGATGTCAAGGTCTTCCCATATGGATATAAGACTTCCCTTTTTCTTTGTCCTGCCCAGAACATTCTTACCCAAAGCGTTAAGGCATTTTATGACGAGAGTAAATGACTTTCTAATATGTTTCCTTAGACTCTCTAGTATTGTATTGTCTACCTTTCCTACCATGTTTGAGTACTTTTTAAACTTATTTGTAAGGAAGGAGAAATCATCATTATCATCTTCATCGAATATTTTGGCATCTGATGAATCGTTTATGATAATTGACACCTTGGATGGAGAAGTTTTCTTTTGTTTTTGAATGCTAATGGTTAAATGGGTGTTGCGGTTGCGGTGAAACACCTCTTCATGTACTTTCGGAATTCCAATGATCTCTTCTAAAAATAATTTATCAAGTTTCATAGACAAGTTGTTTCTTAAGATCTCTATTTTGGGGGAGTAATCTGGTCAATGATATCGTAGCTATCAATCATTCTTTCAATTAATAGATTTAAGTTTATTGATGATAATCCAAAAGCTTATGACTTGAATGCTTTCAGTCATGTTGAACAAGTCATATATTGGCAAACTACAGGAATCAACATATTCCTCTAAACATCTTTTGATCCTTCTTGTGCTGATTTCTTACTCGATGAATGCTTAAAATGTAACGCTGTAACGCTCTTATGTGTCATATATCTGAAGATGAATATGGCAATATGTTAAAAGAGATGTGTAGTTTGTCAATATATGACTTGTTCATGATGCTACAACTTTATATAATATATTAAAAATATTTATAACAAACATCAATCACAACATTAAAAGGTCTCATGATGCTACAACTTTATATAATATATTAATCGCAACAGCCAAAATATCTCAAAAGTTTTGTATTTATATTTATTATCATCAAGATGCTATCTACTGAGAGAATCCACCTATTCAAAAAAGTAGACTTTCAAGGTTTCAACATAGATTATTCAGTTTCATGTTCAAAGAACTCATCTAAACTTTGCTTTTCATGAGTTTTATATTTAGCCTATGAAGTTTGATATTTTAATTTTGTTTAATAGGATGAGATTTATAAAGCATTCAATGTATATGATATCCTCTTTTGATTTAGTTTTGGTTGTAATTAGGATTGTTGAAATAAATCTAAATTGAGTAAATTGTTATCAAATGAGTAAACTCTTAAAAAAAACGCTAAATTGCATTATTTTTCAGTTTAGTATTTAAACGTGAACTATACTTACGATAAAACTAGTTAAACTTAATTAAACTCTGATTTATTATATTACGAAGCTAATTTATTTTTTGGTTTGTTCGATATCTCAGAAAATAGTTAAGAGGAAGAACTAAAGATTTTATTTTTTTGGTCAGAGGAAAGTTGAAGATCCAATTACTTGTTTATTGTGAAAATTGGGCCAGTGTAAGATTTCCAAAACAGAAACCCCATACCATTAAACACTGAAACTGAAACCATTCTCTGCACAAATCAAGAGTGAAGCAACAATAAATGAAGCCTGTTTCTCAAAAATGGGGTTACATTCGAATCATGGCCGGTACAATCCTTGGAGGCATCCTCGGATTCTACGTTATGCACCGTGTTGAATCTAACTACAAGGTTAGCATACCTTCTCTCTCTTCTTTCTTTTCAGTTGCTTCTTTAGCCTCTTCAATTTTATGGCTTTCTGAAGCTACCTAATGGAGGCTCGTTAGGGTATTCAGAAACCCTTTTCCCTTTTCTCTTTAAAGATTTTTTCTTTTTCGTTTGTTTGATATGGTGTATGTGCAGGAGAGAATGAATGAGAGGCTGAGAAACTACGAGGCTGAATTAAGGAGGAAAAAGGACGAGAGATTGAACGATTTAGAGGAATCCTCCAAGTTTTGAAAAATCGTGGTTCTTTTTTCTTAATTTTTTATTTTCTCTTTTTCTTTCTACGTTTGATTTATGAGAAAAATTAGAAAAATTGCTTCTATGTATACTAACGAGGTGTAGTTTGCTCATTTACACATCCTTTTAAAATTAGATACCATTAAACACTAATATACTTTCATTTTGTCTTTGATCATTTTAACTAGTTACATTGATTAAATCTGGTGGTACTCAACTCCTACTATCTGAACTTTATGACATGTGACATCAATTTGGAGTGACTTGTATCTCTCTACTGCATTTTCTGATACAATGAGATAAAGGAGTAAAGAAAGAGTGGAAATGTTTATTATGTAAAAACTGGTTTATTTTAAGAGCTAATAAGCTGGGTAACTTTCTGCAGGCGTAGTCTGTTTGGATGTGTTCTAGGGATGAAAGTTGCTAAACTGTCTAGTAACTAGGAAATACTAATCTCTGCCCTGTAGCCAAATACCTGGAATTAACTAAGTTGTGAACGTTATTGTTTTGAGATTGTTGGTCATGTTTGATGACCCCCTAATAACCATTGCATGATACACTAATTTGGGGTATAAACATAATGCAGGATACTTGCTCTATTCAAGATAGAGTCAGGTTTTCTTATGCGGCATGTGATAATATTTTGGTGTTCATGTATGTATGGAAACATGAAGAAATTTGTGCTAGTTATACGGTACCTCATTGCGTAGTATTAGGTGTCTACATGCATGATGGAATGTGATTGGCAGGGTGTAATTTAAGTCTGATAGAATAATTTCAGAACTACAGATACTACTATGCAAGCCATTCCATCTACATTACGCTAATGTTTTACTGCACTAATACCCTTTGTACTCCGTTGGGCATTGACTTTTTGATAAGGTTAAAAAGAAGAGAGTAAATTATTATTTAAGGGATGCCTAGGATATATGACTTAAGGATATGGTTGCATCTGTAATAATGCTGTTGTCTCGTAAGCCTAGTACAATGGTTGAGTAGATAAGGCTGATATGCTGTTCTGTTATGGGTCTGATTGAATTCTGTGGTTGTGATGAAGCATCTATGTATTGTTTTTACATGCAAAGTATCTGTCAGAGTGTTCCTTGTAGTAGTTAGTTCTGTTTGATATTTTTTTTGGGTTACTAGTTCCGCTGGGCTTATGAGTACATATGTAGCTATAAAGGATGGAGGTGTGCTGATATGTATCAATTATAAATTGAATTATCTGGTTACCTGAAATTGCTATCTGTTTAATATTGTTATTGTGGCCTAATGGAAAGTAGGAAATAATTGAGATATCATGTGTAGTGGATTGATTGAACTTTTCTGATTGTCTCAAATGAGCCTTGTTCGGTGTTTGATTGGTGCCATTGCATGGTCAAAGTTTATATTACATTATTCTATTGATAGGAAGTAGATTGGGTAAGACATTTTTCCAAGTACTTAGGGTTTACCGGTTGTATTAGGAACTTAAAAGCAAGAGATACACTCAATCTTGAATTCGGAATCTGTTTTTCATATTTTAAACTGTAGACTGAATTGTATGATACATGTGAAATAGTGAAGGTTGTAATTACTTAACAAGTTGCGCTAACTGAACTGGATGAAGAAGCATATACATGATGATGTTTGTGTACCTTGCTCTGTTCCATTTCTCTTAGATCTTTCAAAACAAAATATAACATGTTATAACGGATTTAAATTGTCTAAATAGATGAGAATTGATGATGTTTTAGTGTTTTGTCTGTTTCATTTGTGGTTGAAACTTCCGAATAGACTATAAAAGGGTTGGTAATGGATTCAACATGGACTAAACGTAATATAGATTGGAATTAAAAATGTATGTAATTTCGGTGCTGTTATATGCTATATGTTGGTAAGGATTATGTGGTGGGGATGATTTCATGCATTCCAGCCAGGAATTAATTTCTGGACTGTCAAAATGTGTTTGGCGTTGGTTTTAGCTATTAAAACATTGGTTGCTTTAAATATTTTGGTGAATTGAGTCAATCTTTGGCCATTGACTGCTAATGTGTGATGATATATGACAGGGGAATGTGTTTAACGTCGAATTAAAATTTGTTTGGACTGAAAAAGAGATTGTAATATTATGATTTGTGACTATTTATACAGTCATGCGTTATTGAGTTAGATTTTCCTTTTATAAACATTAACATCGACATTTCTTTTATGATTTTTATTAATAACTTTGAATTTATGAAATGTTTTATTTTTGTTTAGATTAAAATTTATAATTTTTTTTCCAAACAAATAAAACGAAAAGTGTAGATATTTTTAATGTAGACATGTTTTTGTTTAAATTTTACTTATTTATAATATTTAATTCTACCAACTTCAGTATCGATGAAAATCAAATTGATCATACGAGATAAAAAATTCAATAATATATAAATTATTCTTTAAAGAAATTTATTGAACTTCAAGTATATTATAAAAGTTAAATCAAGACAACATGATAAATTATTTAGTGATAAAATTGTTAGGTGAGAGGTGATTGTGGAGTAACTTTTGTTATCATAAAGGAATCAAGATGTTATTTAGTTAAGTGATTAATAAATTATTTTGCCAATAATATAAAAAATTCAAAGTAATTAGTTGATATTAAAGTTTATGAATGACATAAAATGTTTTGATTAAATTAAAAATACTTATAATTCTTTTAAGAAGCATTGATCAAACAAAACAAATGATGTTTGTAATAAAATAAAGTTGCAAGTGAATGATTTGAGAAAAATGTTATTTTCTGCTATTATTATTACAAACACTGATAATAAAGCCCTTTCTTCCACGGCCATTATCGCACCCTTCTTCCTCTGCCTACACAGGTGGTCCTCACTCGTCACTTTCTTTTTCCTCTATCGACATCTCCACCCATAACTTCATCCATTACAGAATCCAAAATATAAAATAAAATATACATTCTAATTTACATAATTTAGAATATAAAAATAAAATTTATATTCTAAAATCTTTTTATTTTGTATTTCAAAATATATAATCTAAAATATAATTTTTATTTTGTATTTTAGAATGAATGTATAATAAAAAATACAAAATTTTTATTTTAAATTATATAATCTAACATTTTTCTATTTCAAAATATATAATTGAAATACAACTTTTTCATTTTTGGTTATGTATTTCTGAATGCCTACATATATTCTGAAATTAAAAATAAAAAGATGAAATTATAATTTCTAAGTATATAGAGGTGTAGGAAGAAATTATGGATGTGCAGGAAGCAGCCCCAAATAACTAATTAAAGCCCATCGAGCAACTTTGAACTGAAATGAAGCCCCATTCCTTTAAGACTGTCGTGGCGCCTAGAACGAAATTAGGGTTTTCCGTTCCATTTAGCTATCTATAAAATCGGGGCACCACATCTCACACTCGCATCCTCCGTCTGTTCCGTCTTTGAAATTGGATAAGGGTTCTTGTGTTCAATTCTAATTCTGACCGTTCTGTACGTGTTTGAGTGCTTTTCATTGTATGTTTTTGTAAGTTTTTTGTTGAAAAGAAAGCCAATTTGCAGAGCAAGTGCGTGTATTATGTAAAAATGACGAAACTTGCATTGAAGGTTGGCGAAAAGAATTGCGATTCTCCGTGCCTATCAGATTCACTTTGTTTTGATCATGGCCTCGAACAAGTCGCTACATGTTTTTTTTTTCTTTTGATCAATTATTTTCACTGCTATTTTCCAGGGTTTTTCATTTTACGAATTTATCCAAGTTAAGGTATTTGGATGTGATTTATGAATGAGCGAAGCTCTTTAAATCTGTATACTATGATGATTTGGTTTTCTAAACTGGGTAAATAAATGGTTATTTTTAAATCTAGATTTTGAAGTTTATTTAGACTAGAAAATATGGTCAATCTATAAAGCAAAGCAAACTGGTTTTTATATACCAAAATTGTGTCGGAAGATGGCTAAATTCATCTTTTGTCCTCCATTCCGTTAAAACACATGAAATCTTGTGTTCATGCAGTACTATAACATCGGGATACACATTTTATTTTATTTTAATGTTTGATATGTTTTTTGCAAGACGGTTTATTATTCAAAATGAAAGGAAATAGAAGTTAAGGAATAATGGAATGAAAAAATGAAATCAAATTTGTTTGATAACTGGTAATAAGGGAAGCTATTTGAAACAAACCTAAAATACCATGTTTTATATCCATTGGACCAAATTCAAATGAAATCAAACTTGTTTGATAACTGGTAACAAGGGAAGAAATGAAGAAAATGCTCTTTGAAACAGACCAAAAGTATTCATATCCATAAGACCAAATTCAATTTTCCATTTTTGTTGATTTGCATCGAATATGACTTTGCCTCCTTTTATTACTTTGGAACATGCCTCCTTTTATTACTTTGAAACATGTTCCTTTGTTTTGGTATGGGTCATGAGCTATCATTAGGTACCATCTCTATATCATCTTGCTACCATTGTTTTGTTTGCAAGATATATTGTTTTATTTTTATGCATCTATATGGAGTTGGATGCCATTAAACAATCTATTTTTGTTATGATTCATGTGATTTAATTCAGCTTTCGTTCATATCCAATCTTGATTTTAATAAGGGTTCTGTTGTATTTCCTAACAAGTAGAACAAATAATTTTCCATGTGTAATTGTTTGGGATACAATTTTCCGTAGTGTTTTCATTGTTAGGTCTATTGTCTTATTCTTGTCTTCCTTAATAGAACATTTTTCAAGACTTTTGAAAGTGATTATTTTTTAGTTTTCTCAAACTCTGTTTTGAGTTTCAACTTTCTGTTTCAAATCCTTGTTCTTCTCCTCTCACACCTTTATGTTTGAGCTCAAGGTTTTCTTTTAAAGGACCATCTGATGTTTCAAAATTTTATTTTAAACACTCAAGTTAAGACATGATTTTAAAATTATCTAATAGACTTAAAACATGCTAACTTGCAGTATTGGAAGTAACTTAATGATATGAAAATGAATGTTAATGTAGTTTAAGTGATCTGAAGTTTGGTTAGGCATTGTGTTTTTGTCAGTATCAAAACATGGCCTCTTCTTCCTTTTCATCCTCAAATTTATAG